TCAATCACTGATATCACCCACTGACCGGTCCTGTGCGATCATGACCTTTTCTAAACATTTCGCTCTGGGATGGTTCAAAACGCTGTGGTCAAGCCTTTTCTGGTAACGATCGCTAAGCCATGGTAGTTTTTTTTGCACTAGAATTCTTTCTTTCCTAGGTTTTCACATCATATTTTTCAGAGCCTTCTAGCCTCCTAATCAATGACATGTTTCGCCTATACGTTCGCTACAAATTGAATCAAATTTTAGGCTTATGCATCTTGGTGCCAATCGACCACAATGACACGATTACTCCAAACATTATTTTCACTAAAAAAATGACAAAGCTGATCGATGACGCACAAAAAAAGCTCGAAGCTGTGAGCCCTAACTTGTTCAAATCATCTTACCATTGAAAGGCCTTGGCGATAGATTGTATTGGGTTTAGACTCGGTGAGGTTCTGGCGAAAAAAAAAGCAAAAAAAAAGGACAGCACGTGTTGTTGAGCAATTCAATATTGCTGTGTTTTTAGGAGAGTTAAGGGTACTTCATTATTAAACTTTTTTCAATAGGGAATCTATTTCATTTAGTTGCCAGTTTGGCTAATTTTCACCGAGTGGACCTCCCATTTCGCAGGCTAGACAGTATGTGTAACTTTCACATTCGTAGCGGAACCGTCCGCTACGAATGTGGAAGTTACACATACTGTTTTCTGAATCCAATAAATCTCTTTCTCTGATCAGGAATGGTGTAAAAAGATGACACTCTCACTGTGAAACTTTCCACAAGCAGAAAACGACATTAGTTTTCGAACAACCTAATACCTGCTACCAAAGAAAATAAAACTCACTCTAAAGCACTGGAACAACTTCTTGAACACCTTAGTTTCCAAGTTGTCGAGCTTCTGCTTTTCAGCAGAATGCTTTGTCTCCATAAGCGCCTGAATAAATGATGAAGGGGAAGCTATATTGCAACTGGAAAGTTTACCATACCTTCCTCATGCTCATCCACATCACAACAACGCATTCCAAAAAAACCTGATTTCGTTTCCACACCTGGTTGTCTTCGTCTGAATAGTTGACTTAAAAATGTCTTTACCTTACCATGGGACTATCAATTCGACAATTTTGGATTGAAAAGTATGCAAAATGGAGTTTTGTTGCACCCTTCACAAAAGGCACAACGCGTCAAAATTTGGTGCGTAGTCGCGACGAGGTGCAAAAAACAGGGAATCATCATTACACTACAACCACAGCGGGAATGAGCCACAAAGAGAAGACCAAAAGGAAAAAAAAAACAGACTGCATGTCACAGCTCGATTTATCTCGCTAACTGGATGAAATAAAACACCTGGCATGGGGATATCTTGACTCGGCCCACTCAGGGTGACAATCGTGTCGTCTATTCGCATTGATCCATCCATCGTAGCGTCCGCTGACATGCCTTTCGAGAAGCTGCGATAGACAACAATCGTCATGAACAGAATATGTTCCACTGAAATCCAAAACTATGTGACAGATAGAGAACAACCATTTTATATCTACAGAACTGTTCAAACAAGCTGCAATATGCCAAATGTGCTCACCAGCTTCTTTAACCGTAACAAGACCTAGTGGGAACACCAGTCGATGGAAGGTGAGTGCGCAGATTCGACCATGCTTGATTAAAAATGCTATACGCCGCATCTTCTCACTTTGATCTGCTCTTTCCCGATCGGGGAAGAATGACTGAAACAGGATAGAACTCGACAACGTTGTTCAAGCTAAAATAGATTTGAAATACCTTAAAGATTAGAGGAACGATCTCACGGCGCACGCTTTCCGAAGTTTCAACTTGCAAACGTGCGAGAACCTCTTCCATCGGTACCACATCGAAAAACTGTAAAAAAAAAGCCAGAGAATCGGCAATAGATACCTGATGATGCAGTATCCCTTCATAAGAAGTCTTTCGTCAACCACTGTCGACTGCTGAGAGGTAAAATCGTTATAATGAAGCTGGCGCTCGCTAATCGCTTCCTTTCTTTTAACTTTTTCCGTTTTACGATTTATGAGGAGCAAACAAACTTTAAAAGCAGGGCCATAAATTTAACCGATTGCATAGGCGAATTGCGAGCGTAAGCTCAAAACTTACCCTTATATACCGATGACCTTTGAGCATTTTCAGCATTTCGAAAGCTGCGAATCTAACTCGTTCATTTTTGTCATTGATACCATTGAGCGCTATACACTTGAGAGCATGTTCAGCAGCGTTTAAGCAAGCGGGAACACCTATGAGATAACGCATTCCCTAAAAAAAACATAGAGCTATGGAATAGAGACAAATTTTATTAGAAGCTTGACTCACAGAAATAGAATAAGCAAATGCAAACCTCGTATACAGCTAGTCTTACACCGACAACAGAATCACGCGACAACGTGTCCACGATCTGAACATAAAGCTATGGTTTCTTCGGGGAGAATTATTAAGATTTAGTTTATATGGATGTTTCGACTTGGCCACTTACACAACGAGGACAGCACGGGGCAAATGTATGCATTACATGCACCGTGGGACCTTCTAGGATGTATATATCCTATCCTATATCCTATCCTGTCTACACTGGTGTGCAAAACTTAAGGACGAGACAGATGAAGTATCATAACCTTTTGATAGCTTTGTGGACCGTTTAACGGTTCCTGTTAACTGCTTTCTTTAGTGCCCTGTGGCAGCTCTTTGTATGTGTGGTTAGGTTCCATAGAGTCATGTTACGCGCCAGTAACACGTCGTTGGAAAAGCTACGTTCGTCCCTAAGTTTTGCACACCAGTGCATTTCATCATTTTTGCACACTCCGATTTCTTCACAAGCTTTTCGTAGTTATTCTTGATTTTCACTTTGGTTTTTTCTTCGTTTTAATTCGTTTTCATAGCTGTTGAATTACAACAAATGAAAACAAAGCTCATCAAAGGGCAAGACACGCGTGTTCCCAAATTAATCAAGCCAAGAATGCTGCATCCACTGTAGCGAGAGTCAAGGGATTTTGCCTTTTCATCACCATTTCACGTTCATTGGGCGAAAATTCTACTATTCCACCCTTGATTAACTTTACCCATTCATTCAATTTTTTTTGCGAATTTCAAAAAATCGAAATAAGTGAGTTTAGGCGTCCGCGTGGGTTTCATGCTTTTGGTCGATATCTTGGAAGCTTCTTGAGTCTCCGCTGAAAAACACGATACCAGCGAAGGCGCGCACTACTCAGTTTACAACATAATAGGAGGGACGATAGGGGATACCGCTCAAGTGAAACAGGGAGCGCTACTCATATTGAGGCGGACGGGTTCGACACTTGAAGCCCAACCGAAATAGGCAAAAGTTTTGAGGAGTCCGACAGAAGAAGACAGAAGAAGTACCGCATGTCAGACCATTTGAGCAGATGTCCACCACAAGACCTTTCAGACGATTGTACTGATTTGCTTTCTAAGTTTGTAATAGGATTTTGAACAACATTACGATGGTCCCCCATAGGATTTACTGACACACCTATAAAGTTCTCGCACATCTCCTTAACTTTTTTTTTCAATTCCATCCATGCACAGGGGGAGGGCTAAAAAAAGAACCACCAGATACATTCACAGCGACTGCCGGAATCAAACCGAACGATTCAAAGTGGATTGAAGAGCACTTTCCAGAAACTTATTCGAAAAACTTGATAAGAATCGTCTATCCGAAGATGTCTAAAAAATTTCCAACGGAAACCTGGTGCGCGGTTCAAGCTTAGCGAGGTCCTCGACGGATCGTAGACCGTTACCGCATTAACTGAAACGCTGGTCAAAAGCGCTTCAAAGGCAAAAAACAACAGAACAACGGAAGCAAAAGCTTCTATCTACAGGAAGATATCCACTGGCTAACCGATTGAAGAAATTTTGTAGCAGCTTCAGCTAGAGCGATTACTGTAGGCCTCCTTGAGCTCGACGGTGACAGATGACGTCATATTCTGAAGACGGTGGGGCAGTGAAGGAGGGCCTGCTTCTGCTTATGGGGGACATCTAAGGAATATTTTGCCGTAAAACTTTCATCAACAGCGGCACCCTGTGCGACGAAAAGTTCGATGATGCGCGTAATGGGCAGAATGACTCTTTTATCCGCCCCCTATATACGGCCTGCTGATCTGCCTACTGGTTGGGGCAATTTATGACCTTTACAAATGCTCCATCCTTGTCGAGGATTCTTGGGAGGAGGAAACAGGTGATAGGAGATAGACTAGTCAAGCTCATCTACTATGAGACTTCAGCTCAGGATTATAAGTGCAGACGTGCTCACCCCAATTTTTCCCAACAAGTCGTTGCACTGGTGGTTCCTATCGCTAATCAATCCAAGTTTTTTTTGGCAGTTCTCGTGGTTCCTGTACACCTTTCAGTTGATCTTTACTCATGAGCTGATAACCACTTACCCATCAGCCTAGGAATCGCAATGAGCTGTGGAAACAAAAATGAGAGCGCTTCACCAAAACCACCTATAAAGAAAGGTGTCTACTCGCACCCATTCGATATCGACCTCCCATTTGCGAAGCACGCGATAGATAAAAGTATTATATTGAGCTACATCATAACTGTTCTAGTCCACCTTCTCTGTGCCGCCTGAATTGCAGTGCTGCATGAGAAGTGTTTTTATAAATTCTACCTCAAACTTCTCCCTCGATGAATCTGAGAATGTATAGCCGAATAAGTATAGAAGAAGTATCAGAAAGTAAGTATCAATAACTTCCAAAGAAAATCTCAACCTACTATTGTCATATACTGCTTGACAAAGTCGCGGGGAACGAAATTCCAGTACATACTCAAGATTTTCAATATCTGAAAAAGAACAATTGAAAGCACCTATGATAGGTGGATTTACGGCTGAGATTTTAAATAGTCAAAATAAATGTACACCCTAAACGACAGGGAAGTTAACAGAGATGTCATCCTCCCAGAAAACCTTGGCGGTTTTTCTTGAAGGGAATTTGACGAGCACCCAGGACTAGGACTGCATGGAAACAGCCTAGCAACCTTGATGATAAAATCAAGATGGTCCATTTGCAAATACTTCTGCTCATTTTTACTCATGCCTTTTTCACGCCTACTGTTTCTCAGGACTATTCTCTTAAAAACCACAGACGCCAAAAATTCGAAATTTCATGCGATATAATGGGTGTCTTATTATAAAAAACAAGGCTGTAGACAAACCTTTTTAGCAGCCACCATTCTTATTGCTGTGCACTCATCTTTTAGCATACTCAGCATAATGTTATTCTGTTTATACAGGCACTCTTCCCGTTTCTAAAATATGGCTACATAGAACAAACTGTTGAGGGTACACCCACAATAAACTGATACTTGCACAAAGTGAAATAAAGTATGATAAGGACTCACAAAGTCGTCGTCGTCCATCAAAGGATAGAATCCAAGCAGAATGGTCGACGCTGCGTAGCGCACTTGGTCATGACAAGACTGAAACAACGGTAGAATAGAATGGTAAGAGTAGACGAAGTCACGAAACCATAACCTACTTCTAAGCCAATCCAAAGCGTTGACTCGAAACATCTAACAAGCATGCCCTCCATTTTTGCCTTATCAGCGTTCTCCACAGAAAAAGACGAGAGGATCTATCAGACAAGTGAAAAAGATCCGTCAATCCTGACAAGATGGCTCAAAAAAACCTACATGTATGAATTTGCTAGAGAGATTAAAAGGCAATAAGATGGCATCGTGGATGGTACCGGTGATCATTTCAGCTTCGATTTGTTTCATCATATCCTCATTCTCTTCTTTGACTGCCATACGCCAGGCGTTGTAGATGACTTGACCAAGGTGATTACACGTTGTGCTAAAAGGATTCTTCAAACCTTTTAGCTTTCTGACTACTGAAAACAGCTCAAAGTTTCTTTCGCAAGGCTTAAAGCATCAGTGAAAATTCACCTAGAGGCACCACCGACGACCATTTTTTTCATCAGTAGGAAGGCTGATCGGAACCCGATTTTTCTTAAAGCATAAGCGCAGAACTTCACACCTGAAAAATAGATGCATACCAAAAAACACAAAAAAAACAAAAAAATCAGCAGTTAGACATCTGCCAGCGAAGGAAGGGAAACCAACCTTCTGTACAATTGAGAAATGATGGCTCCCACAAAGCATGTCGTAAACTGTTGACACTGCATCGCTCCACAACTTCATCGTGATCAGTCCATAGGCGCTTGATGAGCGCTTTCTGAAGCAAAGTGATTCTATAGGCGTGAAATATCAGAGCGAAATTGGAAATTAACATAAAAGTCTGCACTAAGTAGAGCATTCGAGAACACGGAAAACATAGAAACTTTCGTACCTGTCCCTTCTCATTTTTACAGGCCTTCTCTAACAAGGGTTCGTATTCGCTCAGGAAATATTCGAGCTTCTCGTTTACAACGTTCTTCTCTGTGGCTTCGACATCTAGTTCAGGAATAATTTTCTTCGGACCCGCTCTTCTATTTGTCGTCTTCTTGTGGACCTAGACCAAAACTCTATAGCACTGAAGAAATGATCCTGCTAAACAGCTCAGCTTGTAATACGCTTTTCTCAGTAGCTAGTTAAGTTACATACCTACCCAAGGTGACCTTTCTGTAGTTTTTTCTTCGAATGTTCTCGGATCTATTTCTTTCAGAAATTTAGAACAAATTTGTTCTTTCTAGTAATGAATTTCTACCTTCCACTCAAACGATCATCATTTCTAGTCTGGTATTCTCGATTGCAATCGTGCAGTAACACTTTGTATTCGAGCACAGTGAAATTGATATTGTTTCATAAATATGATATATTTACATACCCTTTCACTGTAGTATGATATTGAGTATTAAGAAACTTGATCTATGAAGGTCCGAGTATGACACCTGTGCCTCCGAGCATTTTCAGACCAGAAGGATAGAGATAAATCGCTTAATCTTACCACCGAAGCAGACCCATTTTCAGTGATAGCCGTTTCAGGATCCTTCAGTGGAACCGGAGGAGAGTTTTCATCGAAATCCATATCCTCCATGAGAGTCTCCAGAGCTGCTCCACTGCTCTTCTGATGGCTCCTCTTTCCTCTCATTTCCGACTCCCTTAAGACTTCGTAACGATATTAATTAGAAAATTTTTTCGATATTAATAATTAAATTTTTAAATTTCGATATTAATGATTAGAAATAGAGTAAAGAAATAATTCAGCACTCTCGAAGAGCATAAGGAATTTAGAAGGCAAAAAAAAAGCTTCCGTGAATAGGAGGAATATCTTGAAAAAATTCAAATCGAGGGATTCCGCGGTTCATGCTCCTGCTGCGTGTGATTGCGTACGGTGAGTTGCTACCGTTACCCACAAGAACTTAAACGCTAATGTGAACTTATACCCCATGGTATAAATACCATTTTGAATTATATCACTTGAGGATGCAGAGCCATTAGGAAGAGGGTTTATTCGGTGAGCGTTATTGAAGCGGTACACGTAATACATGTATGTACAGTATGTATCGATTAATGTCGAGCAATATCTAAGGCTAGGTCAGACGACAGGAGCCTTTCTAGGCCTGTATGGTAGAACATTTCATTCTCAGTGGAAGAGGCTGATCAACTATATGTGGCAGAGAAGTTGTGATTAGTGTTGCCTTTACGAAGATTACTCCTAATGATGCACATTGTAGACAATTAGGTGACGAAATTGGTTATTGAGAGATAGAGGGCAAGAATACGATTGTAACGCATCAAGGATATGCAAAGTTGAATGCATTGAAATGCCTAGAGCTGGTGAAAAGTGAGTTTCACCAAGGCTGAGAGTGCACAGAGAGAGTTATGTTTCACTTGGATCTTCATTTTCGCAGTGAGTTTGTTGCTTCCTTGATTCGTCCTGAAAACCTGAAAGTTCTCCGCTAAATGGACAGCAGATCGTGGAACCAAATTCCACACTCGTAGCGGTCGGTTCATTCGCATTCGTATACCAAACCTATGCCACATAAGACGGATAAACAAATAGAATAGAAGACACTACTCATCGTCAGATTTTTTTTTCTTTATTTATTTTGAAGAGAATTTACGATTTACCTGTATTTTGTTACAGTAAATGTCTCTAATAAGCCCGCGAGCACAGCGGATGCTCATATATGATAACGCTGCTTCATGTCTTCCATACGGTTTGAAGTTAAACGATCTATAACATTACATAACATAGAATTCCAGAACGCCGTGAACACTGTTGAGCCAATACTGGACTAGCATAGGCAACAGTTGCTACATTTGTAAGCACAGGGATTAGCCCATTTGGGTGCAGAATGCTTGGCGTACATAGCAAACCCCGCCTCTTCCATCCACAGTGTTTGAATGCCGCATATGGCAACAGTCTCAGCCATCCTTTCGATGGGTATCTATCGAAAAGAATAATGAAAACAACTCCTACACACATGGCAGATACAGAATCAGAGGCTTTCGGGCTAGAAGCGACCAAAGAAGACGCATTATCCATAACCGCTTGCTATCTCGTCCTGCCTCTTGATGCTGGTAAGAGCATTAAACGTAAGAAAAACTTTTCAATAACCAATTTCTTGAAGACTTAAGGAAACAAACATCGTGTCAAGTGTGTATACCACTGTACTCAATGTGCATTTGTGCTGATGTCGTTCGAGCCACTGCACGTCCAGTAGTTCTCAAGAAAAATTAAAACAGCTTTGCTTTCGCTAAGACGAGATAATCAAGCTCACACCACATTTTGCTATATCTCGTTTGAGCCTACCGCAAAGTGGAATAGGTAATTCTTCCTTTTCTGTGAAGACACGAATTCAGGCTTCTCCTGTATGGAGGAATTTCCCAGGAACGAAATAAATAAATTGTTTTTTTTTCCGAAGATGGATCAACAGTAGTAATCTGGTTAAAGTATCTGGTCCAATAGGAGACCATCAAAACACAAAGATACACTTAGAGATAAGTGTAAATCCAGCACATGTAGTCACGCTGCAACTTGTCAGATGTCTCATATCAATCCAATGCTAATCTCCCACGTTATCCAAAACTGGAGGAAGTGGTCGACGGAGCTCAAGCCTCCGCAGTAGTCATATGCATGTCACCCAATCACTCTCATCTCGAACCGGGGTTTTCTGCTGTCCTTGATTTTGTTATTAAACGTGGAGTTACGTTCAAAAGGCAGCCCATTAGAATTAGGGTAGTGCAGGTTAGTGGTGCCGGGACTAAGAGAGAATGATAGAAAAGAAAAGCATGGGAAGCGGCCCCGAACCCCGAGCAGGGTCGGTCCTATCGTTGCTACTTTTCGAAAATTTTTTACGACCCCCCTCCCCCAAGGTGGATTTGATACGACCCCCTTTTCCCTACCTCCACCATCTCCATCTTCCATCAAAACCCCGCCCACTTTTTCCTCCAAAAATCCCGTCGAGCGGGGGGGGGGGATACGACCCCCCTGTTGCTACTTGTAGCACATAGGGTTGACCCTGACCCCGAGAGCTGGATGAGACCTCTTTTCTGACCGTCAACTTCCGCACTTATGCGACTTCCATCGATGCTGCCCTCGTCAACGCTGGCGCTTTCTCTGCTAAACGGCTGAAGACCTGTGGCGAGTGTTTAGCCAGTCGGTAGGCGTACCGCGCCGAAGCACCGCGGAGAGGTATGCTAGGTCGATGAGGTAGATACTTTGCTGCAATTTACGTGTCAGTTCGTATCCTTGGAGGTTCGCCTTTCTTCCCACTAGGTGCTTTGATTTTCGAGGAGACGTGCGTTTCTCCTCCTAGGATCAAACCACCACAGTTGCGCGATCATTGAAGCTTAAGGTTAAGTTTGGGTTTAGACTTAGGTTAAGGCTTATGCTTACACATTGGCTTATGCCTAAGCCTATGATTGGGCCTAGGCTTAGTCCTAAGCTTGCTCCGAGCGAATGAACGGCGTCTCAATTTTAGGTGACCTGACCCCAGGAGGAGAAACGCTACGCACCCTGATTTTCGTCCTTATCGTGGAATCCTCCTTTAACCACCACCCTCAGCTTTGGCATCATTTCTTCTTATTCAGTTCTTCATCATCTTCTGTATTGCGTCTTGAACGACCATTTTGCGATTCCACAGGGTGGGTGGGAGTTCCAACCGCTCCAGGAACGCCGAAAAACCTGAATGACCTCATCCGGGTTTCGTCGCGAGAAAGGGATCTCGTGACTCCGCCCCTTTCCAGGCCGACAGGCCTTTCCGATTGATAATTCAAAATATAACATATACCTCCGATACTCCATAGTGGTGTAGTGGCAAGTGGCGCGCTTACCACGCGAGCGGTCCGGGGATCAAATCCTGGGTCGTGAGTCGCCCGGGCCAACCAAGCCTTCCATCCCTCCGGGGTCGGTTAATTGGTACCAGACTTGTCTGGGAGGATAAAAACACTGACCATCGGCTGGCCCCGCAAGTCATTGTATAGGCCACATCGCATTCAAACGCCACTACGAATGTACAAATGGAAGTAGAATGCGTGCCGCATCCCAAAAAGGGATTGATCAACGGCAAATGCTTTATCCTTTTTTACCTCCGATACTCTATGGTATAAATACCATTTTGAATAACCTCACTTGATAATGCAGAGGCATTGGAATTCAAAGCCGGCGGACAGAGTGAGATTTGTTCATGGCACTTCCATGTATGTAATCGTATCAAGAACTGAAGATTCCAGGAAAAACCCTTTGATTGGCTTAAATTCAACTGTACCAGTTCTCTTATACAAGATGCGAGTCCTACCCAAGTGGTTTGGTATATTTTCGAACGAGTGCCGACGACTTCTCCTAGCTTGCACAAATCCAAGAGATCGCTGCGCTCTATCCTCTTTTGAAGCAGCATCAGCATTGGAAATATTCCTTGTACTCTCAAGGATTCATGCTGTTGCGAAA